TTGTTGTCACAAGCTCGGTAACCTTATCAGTGAATATTTTGTGGTTGGTGGTGGTGGTGGGGGGGTTTCTGGGGGGGGTGAGGTTATAATTTAGACGCTGTATCCTTAATCATAAACACAAGCTAGCAGTCCACTCGCAAGGTTACAGGGAGGCGTCCCTCTGGGCTCGTTTATCGGCTCACTAACAATGTCCTTTCTCCTCTATTTACCACACATCCACCTAATCAACGCAGGATAATTAGCTAACGCCGAGCTAAGCTACCTAGCCTAGCTTTAAACTGCGTTAGCCCTCTCGTGCTAGCTAGCGTTAGCACTTTCCTTTCATCTCCTCCTCCCCCCCCACTCTCTCCCCCACCTCTCTCTCCCTCTCTCCTGTCCAGAAATTAGGTTATAATCTGTAATTTTGTGAAAGCACGGTGACAAAAAAGGCAACACGCGGTGCGAAAAGACACCGTGTGAGTGTTGGTTGGTGTGAAAAGAGACAGAAAGCTCACCTTAATTAGCGATTAAATAGCCTTGTTGCTGCTGTCAATCCCGGAATAGGTTTATTCCCCCGGTTTAATCCATCAGAAACGCTCACAATTCCCATCCACAATGTAGCCGAAGCGTCTGCTAAAACATCGTAATCCGAAACACCACAATGCCGACCTCGATCGCACGTTTTAGAGTCTATTATTTGTGTATTTATTCCAAGTTTATTTCTCTTTTTTTTCCCCTTAACAGAGCAGGGTGTCCCTTTCCCCTTTCTTTGTTCTGTAATCCAGTAAAATTGAAACTCATTCGCCTCCTGCTAATCCCAGCCCAACTCAACAACAGCATCTATTGGCTGCAATTTACATACAGGATTAGCGGAGGAACCTCTGGAAAAACCCTCAGGGAGCACAAATTTACATGGATAGGAAATATCCCTAGCACGATTTCTTCTTATTATATTAGAGCTGTGACTGTTGAAATCACTGTGTGTCACTTTGGCTGCAACTTCACACTGTCAGCTGTGCAGAAATCCCCCCTATAGACTGCATGAAGTGGTTTGGTGTTATAGTTCAGTATCCAAATTATTTTTAGGATTTGTCCAAAGTGGATATATAAGCAGCTCCATGGATCTTCTGGTGGTAGTTATGGTTATGGTTATGCCATAGCTGTTGTGATTGCCTAAAAATAGCATGGCTGTTTAATATAGGGCAAAGTTCATATCATAGGAAAAGGAACAAATAGTTATCCTATAATAAATGTAACCCTAATCATCGAACATATACTGCTCTAAATCACTGTAATCTGGTTAGTTTAATTTATTTTCTTCCTCCTAACCCCCAGACCACAATGATATATTAAGTTAAACTATGTTTCACCCAGAGCAAAAATTATATGTGTTGCTTCATGCTGAACTTGTTGCTCGCTTCTGCAAATAAGTAATCACTTATTTATTCAAATGTCACCGGCATAACCAATCTGCCCTCGGGCAAATAACTGGGACGTGTGGATAAGACCTGACATTTTGCCAAGACCAGAAAGTAAAAGTGATATATCTGGAGGTTCGAAATTACAAAGATTGTAAATAAACAAGCAATTTCTGGATGTTTCATCTTCACCGTCGAGGAACTTGGCCCCCTTTTCCACATGAAGGAATTATTGCCTCCTCTTCTGGTTGACATCTACCAAATATTTGCCTGAGACAAGTTTATGATTTACAGCAGGGTTTATTTTATCTTGTGTGTGTGTGTGTGTGAGTGGCTGAGAAATATATAAATGGTTATGGTTGCTGGCAGAAATTCCCAAACCACCTAACCTCTTAGTGGCATGAAATCCGACACCACTTCGAATCAACTCTGTGGAAACATACCTATCTTCTGTGCTTCGCCCTCAAAAACAAACAGACAGAAGTGACATAAGAGTGTGAAATAAAACACCACCAGCCCTTGCCCACATTGTTAATATTTAATGACTCAATCTCCAAAACCATTGCAGCAATAATCCATAGGGTATGAACCCTCCAGCTGAAAAAGGCCATGTACAATATCCAATGGAAAATTTAGGGTTTTTTATCTTAGCTGACCAGCGCCTGCCCTACATGTTTTGCTCAGGAGACACAACTCCAAGCTTTCCACACCACTCACCTCTGCGTAATGTCCCCTGTAATGCAACGACGGCAAGCTATGGCCAGCTACAAACAGGATCTCATAGTTTAGTTGACAAATGGATAAAACAATATTTGGAAGACTTACAGTATAAATCCTATGTTGATGCCATTTTTTTTTGCAAATTAAATCCAGATGTTGTCGGGATGAGTGTAACACCTTACACCCATTGTTTGGGTTTTAGCTCCAGTGACAGCCCTTCAGTACTTACTACAAAAGGTCATTAAAGTAATCGGGAACACGTTGATACAGCATTAAAATAGGGCTGCTATGATGTACCGTATATAATTAATTAATACTAGCGTATGGATGGAGTCTGTACTGATACATAGTCCACAGTAAACAAAATAGCTGATCATTACCGACAGAGTAAGAAGTGTATTGGTACAGGTTCAGACAGAGTTTAAGAGAACGCAAAAGTCTGGAATAATTCACTACATAACATAACTCAGAGCCTCCCAGGTTCATTAATATTAATCTCGAGTCTTAGCGGGGAGTCCACTGTTGTGCAATTGCTAGAAAGGACTGCTTTCTTTTAGGAAATTGGCCCAACAGCCACGTTATCCGACACCTGAAGAGAGGATTAGTGGTTGAAATGATCTTTGTCAGTTCTGTAACAGATCCTCTAGTGGATGATTTGGAATAATGAGTTGTTATGTTGTTTTTATGTCAGTTGTTATGTCACTGGTACAGTTCAAATCAATAGTCTAACCACAGTTCTGAATGGGATCCCATGACAGAATACCACATATTCAAAAAAATGAAATGTAATGTTTTCTCTGATAAGTGGCCATTATATAAGCGTGATATTACACTCACAGGATGCCAGAGAGAATAACAGCCTGCTTTGGGTTGTGCCTCCACGCCTTTCCATCTTTTTTTATTATATCAAGACGCCTCGTTGTGCTTGATTGCTTACTTAAAGATGCAAAGCTAAATCTGAAGTTGTTTTCAGGGAGTATCAGGGACTCCAAGAGTACTGTTACTTGATGATGGTCAGACAGTGAGGGGTTTGGCACACTTTTTGTAACTGATTTCATAAATGATAAAGACCAAAAACAAACACATTCCGACTGCTTTAAGATCTGCTTTTTTTCAGTATCAAAAGGGGCTGTACATGAGAATTGACAGTATTTTTGCTGTATCTTGATGAAAGAAACAGTGTTTGGAACAGACTCAGCACATGGCTGGATAGCGGAGAAGTGGATTATGTTGTGGGAGGTGGTTTTACACATTTTTGTGGACGGTTTAAAACATTTTCCAAACATAAAACTGACCACTGGAATCCATTATAACAAATGGATTCAGGCTAATCACAACCAAGGACGTTGAAACAAAAACTTTATCCAGCTACTTAGCAAGCCCTCTGAGTGTGTATTTTATATTGAAAAGACAGATTTTGGGATGTATTATTACTTTAAAGGCCCCTTTTTAATATTTCCAATAACTTTTATTATACACTAAAGCACCGGACAGAGTTTGCTAGTAATTCTCTCATCAGGTATTTAATAAAGTGACAAATGAGCCAAACTCCCTAAAAAATAAGCCACTATCATCCTTGAAGAGTTGCTCTGAGTATCACTGGCCAGGACAGCTCACCCGTAGAGCATCATTACAAAGCTGAGGAGCAAAGTAAAAGTAATAAATAAAAATAAACAAAGCGACTGAGACCCGGTTCTTCATTTCTTCACATCGTTGTCCATCAGCCGTTTTTTGCCTTCCGGGTCAAAATTCAGAATTGTCACAGAGTTCCCGGCAACTTGTAGCTTCAAATTTTCTAACTACTGTAAAGCAATCGAAAAGTTGCCATTCTGTATGTTCTCGGGAGTTGTACCGATAATATCTCTTCATGTCCATGTCCCATTTCCTGTTTATATTTTATAGTACTTTAAGCGGTCTTCATGATTGGCTAATAGGTGCTTTCTGCAACAAACACATAAATTCCCTCGAGAGAGGGAGAGAGAGAGAGACACAGAGAGATAGAGAGAGAGATTCGCTGTTTTGGTTTTAACTGTAAACTGAAAGGTTCTTCAGACGTCCATCGCAGGATCGGGAGAAACGTCGGACGAGTTTTTCTGATGCTTTTGAAGATGTACGTCTGCAAGTCCCAGTTCAGTCTTATCTCTTCAGCTCATATCAGTGTTGGTCCTGAAAAAGCCAAAAACAAGATGTCTTAGCACTGAGAGGCGTCAGTGGTATCGCCACATCTCTGACGGTTTAAAATTAAATGAAAGAATACCAACATCTCGAGGACTGTCTGACTCCTGATGATGAATTCCATTGGCTGAATTCGCACCATGTGCCTGAAAAACATCGTGACACATTATAAGTGAAATTAAAGGACTATTTTGACATTTTAGCAAATATATTTATTCGCTTTCCTCCTGAGAGTTACTCTTGATACTAGGATGGTGGATATTGTGGAATTTTTTCATCTAACTCTTTAAAAAAATGACTCTTATAAAATGGTCTCTGATCAACAGGACACATCAAAAATGTATTTATCTCTGCATAAAATACACATTTCAAGCCTTTTAACTGACATTAAAACCTGATATGGACACTTCTTCACAAGCTGCCTGACACAAAAACACGAAAAAGATTTTTAAAGTTTTACCGGGCTTTTATCTGGATGCCTGCGCATGGCCTGGACCAGCTGGTCGACTTGCTGGTTGTGTTCCAAGGCGTTCCTCAGGGCGTCCTCGGTGCTGAACAGCCGCTGGCGGAGGCGGCTCACCTCTGAGTCCAGGGCCGAGGGGTCCAGCATGGAGTACCGCCGGTGGTCAGGTGAAGACCGTTCCCGACCCTAAAATACACACAAGGTGGGAAGATAATAGTCAGTGCCTGCTGTTAAATCATTCATATCATGCTACAGTATATTTGATTTACATACATTATTCAAATGTAAAGAATACATTTTCATATGTAAATATACTAAATTTCCGCTCAGGGATAATCTCAGTTGGCACCGATTTTACAATAAATATATAAACCAACAGCTGCCTTCACAGAGGTCTGTATGAAATCAGCCTAACTAGCTCTTGTTTATTACTTTGGTACAGTTTATGGTGTATCTCTACGTGGACAAGACCCCAATACCAGCTATAAAAAACCTGAAAAGGGTATTAAACTTATGCATTATTGAGTGGCTAAATTATTGTCCAGAAAAAAATAATAAAAACTACATTTATTGGTGGATACATATAAACATTTTAAAGGGAAATTTTGACATTATGACATTTCTGTGGCAGTAAAAATCTTGAAACCAATTTTACACATCAATATCAGTGTATCCATCATGGTTTCAGCCTGTGACAACAGTTGTATAATGTCTTCTGTGGCTCTGGAGGACCTTCGTCAGTCTGAGAAAATAACCCTGGTGATGTCATAAGCCTGGTGACGTCATCAGGGTTATGTCAGCTGAGATTTGACAACAAATCTTTAACAAGCAGGCTGCGTTGCACATTATAGGTGTTAAGTTTGAAAGACATGGGTGAATATCCTGGCCTCTGATTTTGACCACATCCCTTTATAGAAGTGGAAAGCATGGAATAGCTGGTACCTGACAGGCAACAAGGGCATAGGAGTGACTCTTTTTCTATTTCTATTTTCTATTCACAACTATTGATATATATTAGTTCACAATGGTAAATCCTGTTCCCAGAGGTCAAAGGAAAACACATTTTTGGACATTATTATTACATTATTACACTTATTGTGACACTCTCTGTCCGTTCAATATGAAACTGGAGCCAGGTAGTGATTAGCTTAGCTTAGCATAGGTGCATTTCTCAAAGTGTCAAAGTGTTCCTTTTATTCACCCAGTGAACAATGGTGTCAAAAAGCCACAAGAATCAGTTAATTTCCTACTGAACAGAGGGGTCAGAAAGAGTTGTGTCCAGTAATATTTTCTTTTTCTTTTCCCCCCCAACCAATGGAGCGATGCCTGCAAGCTATTTCAGGCAGTCAACTCGAGCTCATATACACACATGCCACATGCCATGACATGCCTCACTCTCTATTATCATCTACCAAACACACCCTCCCAAATTTGGCGGTCTTTTTAAGCTTCAAACGTTTTCCATCTCTCCCTCTGCGCTGTCAATGCCTCCGCCGCCGTGCCTCAGTATTGCTGCCGGCTCTTTCAGTCCTGACACCACCCCAGCACTCCCCTTGCAGGCTCCGGCAGGGGTATATCAGGGGATATTTGCTCACCACTTCCCAATATCTCTATGTAAACATATTTGCAGGGAGTCATGGCGCCTAGACGCCCGTCTGTCCTTCTGCTGTAATAAGCATTTGTCTGTCTGTCAGTTATCTGTTTGAAATATGATTTGTTGACTACAATCTCCCATTGGTAAGCCGATTTGTTGGGGAGATGTGAATGTTGCATTATGCTTGCTCGGGAATTAGTGACAACAGCGTTTTTAGAATGGGACAAGAACAAGAGTAAATGTCTCAAAAACTGATAGTGATTAATGAATGTCAGGGTTGAGTGATCACAGAAGCAGCGTTAACTTAGCATCACAAAGTCCTTCCTTCTCACCAGTAAAAGTAATTTTTCGCGCAAGGTCTTGATGTCATCCTGTAGTTTCTGCTCCTTGACCTTCCACTCAGCCTTGTGCACTTCTCGGTTCAGGTCTTTCTCCATGTCCCTCGAATGGCGATGCGATTCCAGGAGTAACACCCTCAGTTCATTCAGACTCCTGGAATAGAAAAAAGGACAATATATAGGAATAAGAAACACAGATACCTTGAGTGACTGGTAAAAACTGAAAAATTAGAACCAGTTTTGTTGGTGTTTTTCTGGCCTGCAGTGCTGTGATGACTTGCTGTGAACTTTACGGCTCCGAAGTGCAATAATGAGAGAGAAGCAGTGCAATTTTACCGTCAAGGATGCTAGGAGTTGTACATCTGCTTAGACCTTGCACAAAGGTCGTTATCATTCAAATGCTTACCAGCCCATTATGTGAATAATATTTTAGCCAGTTTGGCCAGTGGGATTGTGGAGGCAGACTCATCTCTGTACATATCAAACTGGCTGGTGGATAGATGCCCCCTTCCAATAAATAGTCAAACTGTCTGATGAACTAGTACTTGGCTGTCTTCCTGCATGCTAATGTCAGTGAACCAAATATATATACACACACACAGACACACACACACACACACACACACACACACACACACACACACACAGGACACTACATGTTACCCACAGGGGCTGGTTAGTTTAACATCTGCCCTATTTAAAGTGCTATATATTCATTTGTGCACCTCATAACAGAAAAAAACATTTCCTATTACCAATCAGTCCCTCTGGGCAGATTTTTCTCTTTTTACATATTTTTAAGGTAATATTTTTCAATGCATAAATGTGTAAAGGGATTTAGGATGTGTAAATGGCCAACTGTTTTTACTATGTCAAGTTTATAAAGTGATAAAATGTCAATGTTGTGTTCACAGCTTGGTCTGCTGGTCTGAAGTGGAAAAACAAATTGATTAATGCAGATTTAAGGAAAAGTGAAAAGCTTGTTTTTTCTTACTGAGGTAATGTCCTTCACCTTACTGACAATGTATTCTTCCTCTTCCTTCACTGTTTGCTACAGCGCCTTAGGCATGCTGTTCAACTTAGTCACCAGACTGTGTGCTCATGCAGTGACAGGGCTGTGCTCAGTGACTTGGATTTTGGGGCTGTATTATTGTTTGTTTCTAAAAAAAATCATTATTTCTTCTGCCATGTGACTTGCTAGTAATTGGCTTGTCGACTTCCAAAGATAAAAATGTGTAACAATGTTCAACGTTGACTTTCTTGAGGAAATGTACTAGTTTGTTTTCCTAAAAGAAAGAGCACATTAAGGAAACTAATGATACTACCATCTAATAACGCTAACTCAAGGGGACACCCACTGATGTTTTTGGATGGTATATACTTTTATTGCATACAACATAATTGCTGCCTGTGATGATGCACAGAAAAATATTCTGCTATCACCAGAGACACTTATTTTTAATGCCTGGTAGCAGTTACTAACATCATAATCATCAATAATGTAAGAACTGCATAATGTAAGATAGCCAATAATGTAATACAATTAGATCAATCTGAAGAGTTCCGACAGCACTACAGAAAAAGGCATTGTCTGAATGTGAATATGTGTGGAATTAGTGAAAGACTTGGTTTAATAAATCCCTGCACGTCTGCAGTGATACAGTGACAGACAACTTTCTCTTTACACTTGGGTGGTTAAATAATGACCTCAATTATCAGAGTTTTACTGAATAAAGCCACTTTTGCAGCTTGAGTTATAGCAATAAAAATGGACCTGGGAGGTTGGTGGAAAGTGTGCCAGAAACAACCAAGCTCAATCTGAGAGAAGTGGATGTCTGGCAGGTCTTTGCTGTTTCCCTCTGCTGGCTGCTCCCTAAACTAAAAGACCCAGAGACATGGGCCTCTAATTTCATGTTGGTACTGCGTTATGAGCTGGCAAAAAGACCACTGGCAGTATGCGCAAAACACTCATCAGGAAATCATTTTTAAAGCTGCAGTAATCAATCTTTTTATATTAAAAATGGATCAAATAAGTATGTGTAACGTGAACTCTGCAGTTCCCTTCAGCTCTACTGAGCATTTTAGTGTCTTTCAATTCAAAGAACAAAAACAATCCATTAATACTGCTTCAAATATGATGAAATGTGTCCACTTTTCTGCACTTCTTAGTATATAATTTCAAGCAACCAAAACAGCCTAAATGTAAAATAGTTATTTATTATGCCTAATGTATGTTATGAAGGCAGCAGGAGATGTGTTGTATTCAGCAGGGCCGCACACAAAGTATAGTGCTTTAATGCAAAGCACTTTACAGTTCGCCTCTCAATCAGACACACACTCACGCACTGATGGCAGCGAGTTACCATGCGAGGTGCTGGCATGACCATTGGAAGCAATTTGGGGTTCATTGTCTTGCCCAAAGACGCGTTGACATGTGGACAGGAAGAGCTGGGGGACTGAACCACCAACCCTGTAATTTTGAACAACTAGCTATTCCCCCACATTAAATTATGCGAATGCCATCAAGAAGTACTGAAACATAAAATGTTTTCAAACATTTTAAAATTCAATAACGTATTTATGTAATTTCTAACATCTTTTATCAAAATACTCCTAAATTAAGTTATCAGTACTGTATTTCTTGACTTTTATCCAACACTACCTTTAATTTATCGTATCACTAGGGCCTACACATATATATACACCACAGTGTATTTCTGATGTTTTTCTCATATGATTGGGGGCTGTTGAGGTCCATGGTTGGCCAATGGGGCCCCTACAGGTGCTATTAATAACTAATCACACACGAGCAGCATAAGAGGAATATTCATAAGGCTCTGGCTGTTACAGCCAGTCTACTGCTGTGAAACTAGAGAAACTCTGCTGTCTTCTCCAGTGCAGCAACTGATATCATCTCATCTTGCTGAATATGTTTATAAAGTTACTCTTTTACATCATGTTTAGTTATGTGTCTTTACTGAAAGGTCTGTGCATGTAGAGAACATATTTCCCCTGTGGGACAACTAAGTTTTAAAGGAAGGTGAAGTGAGTCAGGACTGGATACTCCCTGCATCCTCATTACTACCTGTGCTGGAGAGGAAAATTGTATTTAAACCTGCTCGCAAACATGCACGTAAGTTTGAATGCAGCAAAAGCTGGTACTTGTACAATTAAGAGAACAGCTCAACAGAACAAAGGCTCTTGTTGTAGAAGCTGTTGATAGTAATGTGACTCCTGTCGTAGCTAATAACCAATATAAAATGAAATAGTATGATTCAAATAATACCGTTAAAGTTGACACAAAGGTGCAATAAAATCGATACACTGCCTGTGGGTTCCAAGTATCCATTAACAAATTGATAATATAATGCATTTTGGGTGCATCATGTCTGCATGAGCGGAGATATAATTTTTCACTCCAGTTTCCCAGTAAGTGGCGAGGGCAGATTGTAAAATCAATACAGCCTCGACGTCTCCATACCTCTCCTTTTTCAGCAGCTCCTGGCTGATGTTGACCAGCTGCCCAGATGCATCGTGGGACTTCTTGGTCATAGACTCCAGCTCCGCTTCCAGACGCAGCTTCTCCTTGGCCAGGGCTTCGGCTTTCTTTTCCCCTGAGCGAACTTTGCCCTCCAGTGCTGGTGTAAGAGAAAAAAGAAGCATGTTTTTGCTGTGTATTTAGCATTTATGATGTTATTTAGGTATTTATGTGTCTGTTAACAACTATAACTTATATCTTATGAAGCATTAACAACCAATAACATATATATATATAAATATTAAGTTTTTTTTTTCTTTTTGTTACATTTATTTATTATGTGTATTAATAAAGTGTGTATGAAATATTTATTGATTCATAAATACAAAAATAACTTTCCATGAAAACTGAGCAACTTTCATCAATGCTGATGAAGGCCACAAGATGTGGCTGAGGGCCCTGGAAGAAATCTAGTAAGTGGACCTTGAGTTAATAATTTGTATTATTTCAAAGGTCAAGACTAAACATGTCTTTGAACACATTTATAAAGAGTTGTCAAACCTGTGAATGACACATGTGAATTAGAGTAATGTAATGTAATGTTTTATAACACACTAAAAACATACATCGCTAAATATGATTATACCTAGTAACTCTTTAACGGATAGGGTCTCAACTCTTCATTCTTAAGAGAACTCCTGTTCATACTGGCCAATGCTCTTCCAATGTGACTAATGAGGGGCAACATTCACAGTCCTCATTCTGTGCAAAAAAAGTTTAATCTGAAGCTAATTCAGGGCTTCAGCAGTCTAAACCAACGGGGGATCTTCCACAGTTACAGCCTTTTTAATATGAAATTTGCTCTTTGTGTTACTGTTCCTCCACTGCAGCTCTGCAAACGATCATTATTCCTTCATTCTTTGTAATTATTACATCATTCTTTCTAATAATTTATAACTTCTGTAATACCACAGTCTACTATTACTCATTTCGTTTCTGTCAGTCACATACTGTGGCATACATTTACTCTGTATATATTAGCATATATTGTATATATTTATTACTGTAAGGTACATTGGGTCTTATTATATTTCTATTTCCTTTTTTATTTTTACTTATATGTATTTACATATATACACATTTTTATTCTATATATATTGTGTTAGATATTGTAATATAATTATTATTTCTATTCTTTAACATTGTGTGAGCACCTTGAACAACTGTAACAAACACATTTTCTCTTGAGGATCAATAAAGTATTTTTGATTCTGATTCTATAAAGGAAAACATAAAGGGGGGACTTTTACTTAAAAGTGTATAAAGTTTTCTTATTCAGACTGCTGAAGTCTCATATAAGCTTTTTTTGTGCCCCATCATTTACAAGCATGTTAGGCGTGAGATCAACTGTTTGTAAAAATCAATTATCAGAAAATTCTAATGTAATTTTATTTAAAGCAACAGTCACAAAGTAGAGAAGAGTAACTATACTTTGTGTCTCCTATTATTCTTATCTCTTCTTGAATTATTCACAATCCATTCTTCAAAGTGTGTCATTTTGATTATGTGAACTACATGAAGTGTGTTTTGGGTCCTTTTGATGTGACGAAACTTTAGGTTTTCAAAAGACAGCCAGTCGACAGATTCTGCAGCGATGATCAAAGAACGTAACGGTGAAGATGAACACGATCCACCGCATGGCAAACTCAGAATGACTGGTGGAAAATTAAGTGAAGCCTGTACTCATAACACATACGGGGACACTGCGCCGATGCAACGCTGATAGAGTGACACTAATGAAGGTCATTATCTAAATGTGACACAGATAACGAGTTTATATATTGAGAAATATGTCATATCTTTTCCAAACCAAACCCCTAATTGGCTGGATGGGTGGGAAATGCTTTAGCCAATGGCAAACTTACCCTTGTTTTAACACTGTGAGGGTAACGTGACCTGCTAAAATGCTACAATCCCCCTACAGGCTACGCAGAATGTACTCGTTTTTATTAGCGTTATTGGAGTGTGACAAAGACACGATCTCTCTGCAGAGATGCAGAATATTTAGAGATGACAAACACAAGAGCTTGGGAAAAAAGGTCGCTGACTGCTCCTGGACATGTTCTAGAAACTGGCATTTACCTCCCATCTGGGATTTTAGGGCTTCAACCTGGGACGTGAGAGTCGAGACCTCTTTTTCCCTTTTCAACATCTTCTCCATTGTTTCTGAAGAAAAACAAAAAACAGTAAGTGTCTTGCTTGGAGCATGCCATGTTCAAGAAACCACAATAAGTGCACTGATGCAAGCTCCTGGTCAAATGTAACAATATCTGTAAGGTGCATGCTGTAGGTGTCTGTCTTTTGTCCAAATGCTGCTAGTAAGGAAATCTTTATTTAGAGATGAGAAAAATAAGTGACCAGTAACTTTTTCGATCTGCTTCTAGTCTTTATTCTAAGCTAAGCTAACCAGCTGCTGTGTGTAGCCTTATACTTAACAGACAGATATGAGAGTTATGGCAACTAAATTTAAAATAAACAGACATATATGAGAGTTATATTAATCTTTTCATCTAACCAAGCCAAAAAGTGCCTATTGTAAGCATATTTAATAAGGTCAAACTACTCCTTTAAATGGCTTTCAGCAAAGAATTTGAAGAAGACAGAATAGTGCATTTCTCTCCGGTCCTTACATAGAAAAATGGACATTATTATCAGCAGCTTATAAACTCATATAAAATTAATTAAATTAAAAAGTAATAACTTGGAGAAGAATAAATAATCACATTAGGAAAACGAAAAAATGGATGCTGATACCTTCAATTTTCTGTTTTAGCTTCATCTTCTCATCTGAAATTTCATTATCCTCTATCACCTGCAAAGGGATAAAGTAAGAGTTGAACTTAATTTAAAGCAATGACAACATTTCAAATAAGGTAGTGGATTTCTGATTTGTTACTAATCACTTCTCCTCGGCCACTCACATTTGCATCATGGGATGTGTAGCGGTCCGCCTGGATGGCCTGGAGCTGGTTCGCTGTCACCCTCAGTTTCTCCTCCAGTTTCTGGATCTCCTCTTGGCTCTCTGCCTGGGCCTTCTGCAGAGCCTCGTAGTCGGTCATCTTCTTCTCCGACAGCTCCAGTCTCTCTCGCAGCTCCCCTGTGCTTTTGTCCTTCTCCATCTGAAGCTTCTCCATCTCCGCCAGCCTCTGCTCTGCCTTCTGTAGCTTATCGGTAGCCTCTTCCAGGGCCTGTTTGCTGCTTTTGGCCGCTACCTCGGTCCTCCACGTCTGGTTGCCCTCAGCCAGCTGCTCTTTGGCCTCCTGAAGACGAGTGCAGAGGTCTTCGCGTTCCTTGGTCAGCATGGCGGCTTCGATCTTATGTTTGGCTTTGAGATTCTCCATCTCCAGCTGGTGCTCCATCTTCAGCGCCTCCAGAGTGGTTCTCAGCTCCTGGGCGTCCAGCTCCTGGCCTGCTGGAGTAGTATGATCACTACACAATGTGGCCTTCAGTTCCTCCAAGGAACGCTGGTGGTCACTCACTAAAGTGTCAAATTTAGCCTGCAGACGGAAGTGAGAAGAATTATATGATTGAACTGGTTGTATGTTTGGGAAAACAGTCATTCGAACTGATTGAAATGTTATCAGTTATTAAAATATGTCTTATTCTTGTTATCGCTGCTTTGTTTTTCTTGGTTTCTATGCTTTTACTTTTCCATTCAATCCATTCAATCACTCAAACCTCTAATTTCCGCAGAGTATTTCAGCATAGAAACTGTCTAATTTGAAAAGAACCCAACCTATTACCTATAAAATCTGTTACCAGTTGAGCATACAAACTTTCATAACTTAATGATTCACAGAGCTCTACTCAAGTGACCCTCCTGCAAGTTTTTTGAACAGCATTGGGTTGAAAAGAATATATCTGAATACCTTCCAGGTGTCCATCATTTCCATGTTTTCCTTGGTGGCCTGTTGGACTTTCTGCTTCATCTCACCGATCTCCTGGTTCTTATTATCTACCACCGCCTTCAGCGCATCTACCTCCTGCTGGCTCGCTGCTATTGCCGTCTCGTACTTCTCTTTAAGCTCGCTGTTTTCCTTGTAGTGCTCGCGGCCCGCCGACACAAGCTGTTCGCGCAGGAGGAGGGTCTCCTGCTGGGTGTCGGACCCCGGGGCAGCCTCACTGTTGTTGGCTTGCTGCGAGCTCGTGTCTGATCCTCTGAGTTGAGCCTGGAGGTTCTCGATCTCAGCTCTCCGGCTGCTGAGCTCATCCTCCAGCTGCATGATACGACTCTGCTCTTCAACTGTGGTTTGCTGAAGAGAAAAACAACAGCATCAATCACTGCTGCTGGCAGTCTTTCTGATGAGTACCACAGCAGAAAGATGCCAGCCTTTCAAAAGAATGACCTTATTACCGTAACAGGTGGGAAACCCTGCAACAGAATGATGTCATTCCACAGAAAAGGTGACACTGACTTTAAGAGCAGTAATCAGGCCTCAGGAAAAAAGGAAATCAAAGGGAAACCCCATGACAGTCCTTGCAAGGATTGGAGACGGTCAAGTGCATTCCAGTGAATAAACAGTACAAATAAATTACATTACACGTGTGCACACTGGACAGTGACAAATTGTGTAACGAACTGACTCCCTGCTGTACTCTTTGGATACAAAATGATACAAAGACTGACTAACATTTAAGCAGATCTTATTTAATCAATTTGTGTTTCAATTATTCATGTGAAAATAGTCTAACTTACCTCCTCACAAAACCACAAATTGTCTATTTTTACCTCTCTGTTTAAGTTAATTACTATTATTAATAAACACTTATCTAAAAGGCGCTAAAATGCTCAGTTGAGAACAGAGTCAGGGGATAATTCTCTGTGGGTTTGTCGCTATGAGCAACAACTACACATAGTTACACATAGTCACTTCACCTACTAATATAAAAATATCAATTAATGTAGCTTTAAGTCTTCTAAATTACAAATTTGCAATCCTGTGGCCTTCCACCATCCCCTTTCTAGTAGGCCAAAACTTAAAATTGCTTATTATTTTTGAGTAGTACCATTAAAGTACTGGCACCACAAGGGGATTGCATTTCACAGAACATCAAAAAGTCTAAACAAACCAATATACTCATTTTATGGTCTTGTTAAATTTGACAGTCCACACTTAAAAGTTAAAGTCAGTGTATCATTTCCATCCAAAGTAATAAAACCAAAAGGAGCCCAAGGATCAATGTGTCACTGTCCAAATATCTTAGCAGCTCACTGTATGTGCAAAGAAGTGGAAGATGAGAGGAGAGCACAGCCATTCTCTGATCATCTAGAAGCAGCCAAGCAAATATAATAAAGCCAACAGCAAACCTCCACACAGTGACACTGCACACACACTATTGCAAACATCCTCCAAACACTTGTATCCAATTAAAACAAACAAAAAAAAGAGATTAAGAAAGAGGACCCGCTGCACAGTGCACAGATGTTAATTTCAACCATCTGGGAAAACAATCTACCAGACCTCAGAGTTACTAGTTGATTCATATCAAAGATGTTGCCTGAATAGCATTCCGATTACAGCACACACACAGGAGTAAAGGAGTAAAAAAAGAGTCTATGCAAGGTTAATGTCCTTGACAGCATCTGAAGTCGATTTGAAGTCAAGAATTGAGATAGCTCAGCAGCGGATCAAAGCCAAAACAAGATCAAATCTTTTTTTTTCACCTTGGTTCTCTTACCCAACCTCAAGGATACTGCATCATGAGTGCATCTTCCCTGTTGGCAGAAGCAGACCTTACTGCATACAGGAATCCAGCGTTTCAAAGTGTTTTGTTATCTTTTGATGCCTGAAAATTGAAAGCACAAGCTTGTGCGGTTTGATTTGTGATACTATAGTCTATTATTGAAGAGGCTTTCGCTCTTAGGTGTAATACTGCATGTGAAAGTGGTGTAAAGGACGTCCTTTGCCACACTCAACTACTGATGGTAAATGGGCATTACCATCATGATTTGTCTTGAAACATTAATCTAGGAATCCGTGGTGAATCCCATTAACAATTTAGAAATTTCTCATGTGTTACTAATTACATTACTGCTAAAAAAAAAAAAACACTAGCATTGAGCCCAGAGAGATTCATCCACCATGTTCTCCTAAGATGGAAGCATGTCATTTTAAATGTCATGTCCTGGCATCTCAAAGTGCAGCTGGCAACTGATCCGAAAGCCAACCTTAAATAAAAAAGATCAATCACAGTTTAAAAAGAAAATGAACATGAGCTACTGCAACAGAAGACATGTGAGAAGCTGAAGCAGCCGACATTTGTTTTTCCTATCAGAGGTGAATGTCTCAAGGGAAGCTCTGGGTCAACAGTGACGAGCAGTTTTAGTGTGATTCATGATATGACAGTAAAGGAATGAAGGAGAGGATGGAGCGGATGGAGCAGATGAAGTCTGCATAATATGTGATTTTTCATAGAAGGTAAAATATAACCATCTATGGCCTGTTGGATAGCATGAGCCACTACTGACATTACTTCTGACTTTGTTCAATTAAACAGTGCCTGAAGTACCTAAATACATATACATATATTTTAAAAGTTAAAGCTAGCAATATACTATGTTTTTCTTATTCCAAATCCCATGAAAAGGCCAAAACCAACAATGAACTGATCATACTAACAATTATTTTTTGATATTTCCTCTGTGCCTTAGAGCTCCATTGTCCAAAACGATTGAAAACACATCAATGAGCCAAACGATTACACTGGTTGACATGTTCCTTCATTTCTCTGAAATATATTTTGACTCAATTCCCAGACCGATGCAAATTAGTCTGGAACATCTGAGTTCTTTTCAGATTTCCAAGGGGCTTTATCAATGGGTGCAGACCAAAATGAGCTGACAGATCTGTCTGATTCCCAGGCTAACAGACAATGCCTCTCTGCTGTAAAGACTCACACTGAATGTGTACTAATCCGTGGCTGAAAATAGCCCACAATAAATGCACAATTTAGTCCTGTTTGAGTAATGTCTGTTAAAAAGTACAGTGCAGTATCTTCATTAGGAGCCAGTGGGGTGGGGGCTGAGTGCCATAGACAGGGGCAGAGGTAAAGTGTATTGGGAGATGAACCAATGCATTGATGGTTTTGGTCTTTTTTATGAGATTTGACAGAATAAGAAGACAGAACAGCCTAATTGTTTAAACTGTAGGATTTTAATATTGATAATTGTTTAATCTTTCCAGAAAGCATACAGTATTTATATAATTTCAAGCATTAATATTATCTTAACCGAAATAAAGGTGCATTAATATACAGATATAGTATCTGTTGCATCAGGACACTGATACAGATTTCTTGCACCAACAAGTAAATCTTCCAATATGGATACTGAAAAATGGTTCCTTGCCTGTAAAAAATGATGAAATGTTGATGAAATATGTCTGTCAAAGCTATTATTTGGTTATTGGCAAGAAAAGGAGGGGAGGCAATGCAGGCTAAATGATTTGTTTGCTTGCATCTGTAATTCTGCATGTTTTGTTTTGCACATATCACACCCATAGCTGTTTGTGCAAACTGAGACTGCAAGTCAGATTGATCAATAGAATGATTTTAAATTATTATTACACATACATCTCTAGTTTGATCACATGTCAATTTGGACACCGAAGACAGGTGGAGTATGACTTTAACCTGAGCAGCTTGTGAGTTGTGCTACTATCAACAAAGAAGCAAACAGAACCACACAGGACAGTGGCTACAGGCAGAGGGCTCGTGCTTCTTTACCCTCCTCTTCTCTAAGTCTTTCTGAAGCGTCTCTACTCTCGACTTTTCGAGGAGCACACACTGCTCAAGCTGTCGAATATGGGCATGCTCCAATTTCGTCTGAGTCTACAGAAAGGACACAAAGAGAAAGACAGAGAGGAACAAAAGAGCGATAGAAGAGAAGAAACTCAAAGGGAAAGAGACCCATAAAGATCCAAGGGGAATGATAGAGATCAGAACAACAGTCAACATAATGATGAGAGGGAAGTCGACAGCAGCTCTGAAACAGACTCTGAAATGAGTTGATCATATGATAAGGAGACTCGAGGAGAAGAGGCTTGTGATTGAGGTCAGTTCAGTTTCAGGCTCTGAGGACAACTCTATAACACATTTGTCATGTATAAAAATTCCAGTCTGTATTGTTTAGTGGCCTTGCATGGTCGAAATACAGCGTGCACTCATATAGGAGGTAATACGGTACAATTAACCAACTGATTTAATCATGTGTATATTGATTCTCATTAAAGACATTATTAGTTCAGTCAAACTGAAGTTGATAGTGTGATATATGAGTTATGTGATTGGCTGTTTTGGGGGATTCTCGCTCTGCACGTCCAGGGATGGCTATGATTATAGGATAAGGTTGGCGATATTCTTCTATTATTGTCAATAAAGTCCTTTAAAAGACCAAAACAAACAATGAACTGATCGAGTATTGTCTGATATAGCCTCTTCCTCTTTGCCATAGAGCTCCACTGTTGTCATTACTGAGCCACGCTGTTGCACAGGATAAAATGTTCCTTCATTACCATGAACACACACGCCACATACACCGTGCTGCAGCCCCAAATACTCACTAGAGCCCCAAATATGTATTAATCTGTAGCTGAAATTAGTCCCCAATATATGCACTATATACTCATGTTTGAGTAACTAAACAGCTACAGTGCTCAGTTTTAGAATATTATTTTTCTTCAAAGTAATGAGTGTGAGGCTGGGGACTACATACAAAGTACGGAAGGCAGAAAGCACTGAGAGACAGACTCACATACTAATGGTTTTGGTAGTTTCATGTAATTATTTATCTTAACAACAAGAAAATTACAAAATATCACCAGCCTTATCCATTATCACTCCAGCCTACTGTGTTTTATCCACTTCTTTGTGTAAAGATTGCTTCCAAACAGAATATTATGCTACATGATAAAAAGGCAAAAATTAGTATTCTCCGCTAGTAGTCTTGACCTTTTTGTCTGAAACTTTTTAGAATACTTCAGTCACCATCGTACAGCCTGTGCAATCACAAATGTGTCTCTTGCTGTATCCACTTGAAGGCTAAACAGAAGGACAGCCGCATCGAAAGTGAACAAATTACATTTACCTTCCATTCAGGTTCTTTCTCGAGGGACACGCAGGAGAGAGGACAGATAGGGTACCTTATCTAACGGATTTCAGACTTTTCTGCATAGCTTAAAAAATGAGGTACAAGTCACACCTTCATTGAAGTAAGACATTTATTCATGGTTTTTAAATCCTCGCATTTTCCTTGGCTTTTGGCCCCAAATGTGCTGCTACTAAAAGCTCTCTTTTCGTGAAATATGTGTATTGCTGGGGTAGGCAGGCAGCGCAGTGACTGGGGTAGCTGTCAATCAACTGCTGAGAGGGGTTCAAGTCCAGATCGTCCTCCCTGCTGAAGCATCACTGAACTCCTCATCTGAATTTTTTCTCATTAAATCGATTTGAAATGTTTGTATGTGGTCTGCAGGAAATGTTGAGGAGCCCACATTAAATTTGCTTTTGTGCATTCAAGCCATCCTCCTATCTTTACTGCATATATAAACCCCCATTATAAATCTTCCCTCTACCTTCTCAGGGTCCATGATATCAAGCACATACATTCCATTATTGATACAGTTTATAGGTATTGGTAATGCTGATAAATACCTCCAGGTCTCCTTTGGTGATGGATTCCTCCTCTACTCTGAACTGGAGGTCCTCCACTTTCCTGTAAAAACGTTGTGTGAGATGTGGCACAGAGGGTGAAAACATCAAAGGATCATGGGCTTGCAACTGTGTAGTATTTGATTCACTAATAATTACCAGATAGGCTCTAATAAACTAAAGCTTAACTACTTTTACAGCAGCAATGGGGCAGCATGTCTTTACCTGCTGTGTGCAAACATGGTTACACAAATAAGGGTATTTTTCTCAGCCTCACACTTTGTAGAAATTACAGGTTTTGTCCCAGTAGTCATGAGAGATAGAGGCCGTATCAGGAATAGTTCAACATTTTGGGAAACAGGCTTATTTGCTTTCTTAATGAGAGTGAGACGAGAAGATCGATATCAATTTCATGTCTGCGTGATGCCGTAGCTGAAGCAAGGATGTGTTAGCTCGCCGTGAAGACTGGATCTGTTTTTGGTTTCGTCAAAAGTGAAAAAATAAACCCACCAACAACTCTAAAACTGTCTTGTTTACACAGTGTGTCTCATTTGTTTAGTCCGAACACAAACACAAATGTGAAAGCCAGAATTTCTGATATTACGGTGCAACAATTTCTTGACAAACAACAATTTATCTATCTGCCCAGTCCTTCTGTGCAGCGTCTCTGGCTCTAGCGCGGGGTTGCCAGGATTGGCCCGGTGACCGCAGGTTTTGATCCGTGAAAAGGAACAATGGTACCAAAACTGGCAACCTCACTGTGACGACAGGAACCTCTGTAGGAGCACTGTGCCAGGCATGGTTGTCAAGAAATAGTTCCAGCACATAATATATTTCTGTTTATGTACAGATAAAACCAACAAGATGTGCTGTTGATTTGTGTTAGTGTTCATATCAACCGTTAAACTCAATCTCAGAAGAAAGCAATAAAGTTTATTAAAAATGTCTGAAGAGAGACCATGGTCAGTGTTTCAGACTTCAATTCCCTTGTTAAGAACAATTCTGTTTTCAAATGATTATGTGAAATTGTAATGACTTATAGGATGAAAGGAACAAAAATACAATTGAATGTTTAATGATCTGAGAATGTATTTTTGTAGAGACTCGTGGATCCAATTATAATACCAAACACCATACAGGAGAGGTAAAGTAGTGACTTACCTTTTTTCTTCTTCCAGCTGATTGGTCAGTTCCAGCTTATCTTTCTGTGTGCTGGCCAACATGGCTTTGACTTGCTGGAGGGTGTTCTCATTCTCTGTTACATACTGTGGATAGTAGGAAGAAAGGCGTTTTACGAGACGCTACTACAGACAGATTTATTGTTAGGAGTTATCTAACAGTGGCTCTGTTTACGGCTTCTATTCAGCCGTCCTTCCACAGATCATTGTGCTTCGTACCTGTGTGTGCTGCACCTTGAGGACGCTCAGCTCCTTCTCCACTTCGCAGATGTGGCTGGTGGCCTTGGCCATGTCGGCTCGCTCCAGGTCCCTCTCGGCCAGGAGCTGCTCGATGTGCTGCTGCTTCTCCTTCAGGGCCTCCTGGAGCGCGGTGGTGCCTGAGATCTTGCGGGCGTAGCGTGACGATGTCTCCGTCAGCTGAAAGGGGGAAAAAGGACATAAGATTAGGAAATTTGTGCAGTGGAAATGATGGAAATGTAAAGGGAGTGAGGGGAAGGGAAGAACGTGAGAAAACAAAGAAAGAAGTAGGTGGAGATGTTGGAAAAAAGTTATTAAAAATGTATTAAAACATTTTGAATTTATAAATATTGGACACAATTTAATCAGCTTCATGTTCTCCACAGATCACATCTGGTTTTTTTCTCATAATAACATAATCTAATTATATAATGATCACAGAAAAAAACGCTTCCTGTGATCTCGACATAACAGGCTTTGCTTTCTTGTGAAGTAATATTTTACAATTATAAGAAGACATACAGTCAGTTTTCATGATCATGGAATAACTATTTTGCAAACCTTAAATGTGATGTAATTTCATTATTTCCTGATTATGAAAAGGAAACGTGTGTTATCCCTAAGAAAACAATGCCTCTTACACTGAAATGAATTAGTTCAAATTAGAAATGTGTTATTTCATTATGTCATGATACACAAATAATTCAAAATACCAAGCCTTTTGTATAAGTAGCAAAACAATGATGTTGGGTAAACACTGAAGTGAACAGTGTTCCTTTAGGATTACTTACACATTAAAATATAAAATAATAAACTTTTTCCACTCAAATTTTGGCTACACAAGGCTCCAAACGATAATTATTTCTCAGTTTTCTCAACGCCTTGGTCTAAATTTTGAAGTCCTGAAAGATGCAATATTTTCTTTGACCACTAGAGTGTGCTCTTTGAAAGGATTCCTGCCTGACCTATAAGAACAGTTCGATTCTGTGGCCTTTGTCTAATTCAACAAGCTAATGCTGGTAGCTCTTAGTGATAACATACTGTACATAATCACAACATAAACATTTCACAAATGTTTTTTTCTGCAGTATTTCTGGTCTGCACACTTTGAAGAAAACTGAAATGCTGACTGGAGTTACTGGATGTTGCACAGGTCATGAACTCTTGTTTTTGTGTAGGCGCCTCTATAATCTATTACAGCATGGACTGCAGGCAAGTAATGTATACTTTGATGAATGTTATTAATATGAACTCTCTTTATTATCATCACAGCCATAAATGCAGTGACCGACTGACTTTGTTAAGTGTGTGCTATACGATTCTTAACTAAATCTAAGCTTCTGTACCTGCAATCTACGGACAACACGACCTGTGAGCTTTAGAATATTTTGTGCAGCGTGATCAGCTTGATAATTCTGAGTGGCTGCTTCTCAGCGCTGTCTGACACTGCTGCCAACAATTAAGGAAAGTAAAGGGGAGTGTTCTCCATTCCAGATTTGGCTTACAACCAGAAGCTAAAATCAATGTGAGATACCCTGACGTCCCATTCATTTGAGCCGTGCCCGAGGATATTAGTCTCGTTGGAACGAGCTACTTGAGCTCTCGTTCAGCTGCAGGTTTGCAGACTTGTCACGGAGGGACAAAATGCAAAGTCAGTGAATCACAGGCTCACACTGCCCAGCCAGAATATGCAAATTATTAACTGCTCAGCAGATAAGGGAGTATTTCAATACAATGAACCCATTCATCATCCCGCTGTTTGAATTTGTAACATTGAACCAAAAAGTCACACTTTAAACATTTTTACTGCGATCAGGCATCGTAATATATTTGTTTATACTATACATTACTATATTATAAATTAGAATTATAAAAAGAGATCAATAAGGATAATTAGTATTCAAAGGAGTGGAAATTGAAAACGTTTTAGTTTTTTACTGATAAAAGGGGAAAATTATAATAAATTATAAGGTCTCTTAAAATTATGTTCAAGAACATGCCATTTCAAGACACTTTTATATGTTATTTTTATGTTGTGCCCATTCCCTGAAATTCTTGCTGTAATTATGTACACCTTGAAGCACTGGTTTTGAAAGCCACTGTAGAAATAAAGTTTACTTACTCACTTACTCTAAAGGAATAATTTTGGAAATATGCTATTCAGTTTGTTGCAAAGAGTTAGACGAGAAGATCGACACCACTCTCATGTCTGTACGGTTAATATATAGCTGGCACTAGCAGCCGGTTAGCTTAGCTTAGCTTAGCATAAAGACTAGCTAGCCTGGCCGTATCCAAATAAAACAAAATCGGCTTCAAGTGACTCAATTAAACTTGTTATATATTGTTTGTTTAGTCCATATGAAATTAATCATGTGTCGGACTCTCTCTTGGCTGGAAACAGTAACTTCCTGGAGTCTCTGCTGGTTTCCTGGCAACCTCATTGTGAGGACATGACTGTTAATAGCTTCATGTTTACTACACAAACACGACAGCGGTATCGACCCTCTCATCTAACTCTCGGCAAGAAAGCAAATAAGCCTATTTCCCAAAATGTCAAACTATTCCTTTAAAGAGCACATTACACTGTCTGACCAGCCCGTCTGCTTTCAGTATGAATTTAAAAGGTATTGCAGTCATCTTACCAGTCCAGCTCGGCTCGGTCGTCCACCCACAGAGGAGGCCACCGAGCTGACTGAACTGATGGAGGAGCTGCTGGGGCTGTGGGCCAGAGAGGAAACCCCCATGGCCACCCGCTTGCTCTTCTTAGCCTTGGCCGGGCTGGTGGAGGGGAAGCCGATGCGGATCACCTTGTGGTTCGGAGCAAACAGGCCGAACTTGGGAAGACACTGAAAGTATCTGCAGGAAGAGGAGGAGGGAAGATAAGCGAGAGGTTAGGAAGTTCACAGAACTGCTGTATGATGATGTTACCAATACATAATCAGTTAACAGAGTCCCTTTGTGTTTCGTTTGGGTATTCAAAAAGCTTTATTAGGTATTCAGGTACATTATTAAGCATGGACATGAAAAATGTGGATGGAATTTTTACAGGAGATAATTATCTTCTTTTGCCATCTGGAAATGTTTCAGCTTCAAACCAGGTATAAATATGCCTTACAGCTCCTGCTGCATCACCACCAATTAAATGGCTAATCATTAAAACTACCTATAAAGCTGTAAAACAAAACCAGCATGACAAGTGTAAGGAGGCCGGAGTCAGCTGCAGCATTGCAGAGCAAGGAATCAGTTAAATGCACAATATTGTATTATTGAGTCATTTTCTAATAAAAAAAGGCAAACCATGCTGTTTCCAGCATGTAAAATAAAAGAATTTACTGCTTTCAAGTAGATTTATTTTATTAATCCCCAACGGGAGAATTCTTTTTTCACTCGTTTCAACACAATCACACACACACAGGGTTTATAGACATCCAGATGTGGAGAGACGGTAGAGTGACGGGCTGCCACGTAGCGGTGCCCCAGGAGCAGTTAGAGGTTTGGTGCCTTGCTCGGGGTCACCTCGGCAGTGCCCAGGAGGTGAACTGGCACCTCTCCAGCTACCAGTCCACACTCCATAATGTGGTCAACCACCTGCCGCCCCATTTCTTTGTCATATATGAGAGTAAACTGTCTGCTGGACTCACAAATCAAGTCATTTTTAATGTGTCACTTTGGGGCCTAGGAATGTTTTTTTTTCTTTTTTTATTAACTGCAGCAATACTAATACTTCTACTTATCTTTCTTAGACATCTTTCCAAAGAATCTTCTGACTATCAAGGAGGATTTTCATTTGAGTAATGGCTGTGTTTTGATATAATGAAAGAATGTGCACGATATAAATCGTTTTTAAGTCTATAAATTTATAATGGTGGGGGGGGGGGGAGAATATGTGCTGTGCTAAGGAACATGTCTGTGGCTTCTGTGAGGTGAGAAAATGGAAATAATAAATATGATATAAATGTGTTGAATATGAAGCCTAAAACCACACCCCAACCAATGGTGCAGACCCGCTCTGGCCTAGAGGGTCAGTCAGTGTAATTTCATGGACAAAAAGATGAAGGAACAAAGAACAAACAACTGAACAGATGGACTCACAGTCTTCCACTCAATTTCCTTTTAGGGGAAAAAGCTAAGGAATTTGGGCAGCTTAAAGCATACATTGTGTGTGTGTGCGTTTGTGTTTGTGGCTGTGTGTGTATACCTTGTACCAGCTACTGCACCATCATTCTTCCCCAGGGGTTCATCCAGCTCGACCCCACACCATTCACCCTTAGCGAAGTCTGTCTCTCCCATGTAGCGTATGACTCCCATCTTAGAGCCTCCCACCTACAACACAGACACACAGAAAGAAAGAAAGAAAGACAAGTTAAATGCAATCTCAGTAAGTAAACATGAAGCTACAGCCAGAAGCTCGTTAGCTTAGCTTAGCACAAAGAGTGCAAACAAGGGGGAACAGTTAGCCTGACTCTGTCCAGTAGTTACAACCAGCGGAAACAGCACACAACCCTCCCAGAGAAGCTAGCTGTCCCCCCCTTTCCACTATTTGTGCTAAGCTAAGCTAACTGTTGGCTGCAACCAAGATATAAAATAAATAAGCATATTTTCCCAAATATCAAACTACTTCCCTTAAGATTGGTAATAATAAACACTATTTTGGTTCTGCTATTGATTTTTATATTGAAAATCAACATAATAAATCAATTTTCGTTTCAATATCTTTCAATATGTGACTTAAAGGTAACTTAATCACATAAAATGACATAAGATTCACTACAGTTAAAAGCTGTTGTTTTCTTCTTTATGACTAGATTTAGCTTTAAAGATAAAAGATAAAGTTTTATTTAGTTAACAGAATTACCAATATGTTCATCACAGGCTGTTTTTATTTATAGATAAAACCTGTGGATAAATCCGTAAGTAAATGTTGTTTTAGCTTTATCTATGGCCAGCTCAACAGGTAAGCTAGCTTTAACTTGACGTAGCTCTCTGTTTGTGACGTTCACACTGACACATTTTATGGATATATGTAATATATTCAATGCATAACAATAACAGTATAGAACAACTGCTAAACTGTACAAAGAACACAAATAGTGAAAACAATTAATGGATTTTGAGCAGATTATTTCCCGTTAATATTCATCTTCGATTAGTTTTTAGAAATGTCTTCTACAATTCAGTCAGCAATATGTCATTTTTTAAAATTTTGAATTATTATACAAACTCAATAGACTTCTTTTCTTTCTGTGTTCTGACTGTTATATAGCTCTTTGGTAGTTTTAACTTTTCTAATGCAGGATAAGGCTGTTTAACAGAGAGTGCAGGCTCTGTGAATATAGCTTGTGTTTAGTTTAAATAAAAATCAAATCAATTTCTCTATAGCACTGTGGAAGCAACTGACAACATAATGGATAAATATGTTTTAAGACTACAGAGTTATATGTAACTGTGCATGTCATTACTGTGTGAATCAACAAGTATTTTAACAAGGTTGTGTCAAGAATTCAAATGGAAAATCATCTGTCCATGGTGATATATTTAAGTTGCCACATAGTCACGCCTTGAAGCTCTGTGCTTCCCAGTTAGAAACATTGGTTTCCTGTTAGGAAGTAGGTCTAACATCCATACTCATTGCCACTTGGGTCAGCCAAAACTGACTAGAACAGCTGCTGAATGTCTTTCACACATGGTGACCACATGTATGAGACATAAAAACTCATCAACATGTACAAACATCCCGCTGGTCACAAATCCTCCAATGACTAAGAGAAACGCGTAGGATAACACTGCAGAAAGACTTCCCTGATCCTCTGTTACAATTAGGTTTGACCTTTTACTCCAAAGAGCATTGTGCTCTTCCTTCGTTCATAATAAATCAACCAGCCAATTAAATTTTTTAACTATTATTTTCATTATTTTCCTAATAATCAATGTTTATAACGGTTTAAAAATGTTTGGTTTAATCTGAGCTATAAGTCAATCCCCCAAAATATTCAATTTATAATCACATAAAAATAAGAAAACCAGCAAAACTTCACACTTGAGAAGCTGAAGCAAAAAGTGTTCTAATTTTTTATTGAATGATAGCTTACCAAAATATTTGCTGAATCATTTTCAATCAATTTTCAACAACTAATCCATTTATCGACTTATTATTTAAGCACTACTTTTTTTTTAGCAGCATCTATACCTGCAGCAATTTATCCAACTATAAGACAATAATCCCATTCCCAGGCAGTTATTAATAAATTAATATACAGAATGTGGGAAGGCACTGCAGATGTTTCAGCACCACAGCTGCTCATTTATTGAGTTTTATTAATAATACCGAGCATTCATTTCACATTTAAGAACCACAACCTTTGAAAAAAGGCTTCCTTTTTTTTGTGCAAACAGGTTCCATATATAAACACTACTGACTACCAGGTTTAGGAGCTGGATGCTGAATACAAAGACGAACCAAAAGAAAAAGGGTGAAGAGTGAGTCACTCTTCAGCTTTCGATTGTCAAATTAATATTCCACTCCCCTGTCTTGTCCTTCTCCTAAACCAGAGAGGCCGAAAATGAAAACGTGGCAAGAAACACTGTGGTGTCACAAGACATTAAACTGAGATGGTTCGCCGTCAGCCGGGCTGTGTGATGTCTCAGTGACTCAGTGTCAAAGCGCCAGCAGTGCTAAGACAGCCAGTCAGTACAAGCCCCGTCTTGGCGCCTGTTATTGCCAATCTCATCTAAAAGCTCAAAAGGTGGTCAAGGACAGTTCCACAGCAGCTAAACCCCTACCTCAAGAGTCTTACCTCAGGCTGTTACCATCTCTACTTGAACATGCTATACTGAACTACTAAGACATAAACTGTCATCCTTGGTGAAGTCCTTGCGAGCGCAAATGGAAACAGTCGAAGCTGGGGGCCCATAATCAGGCTGATCCTAAATATAAGCAACCAAATTTTATTTTAAACCAAATTACTAATCATTACTTATTAAAACAACAAAAAATAACATTTTATTTATTGTTGCTTTAGTAAAATGTATAGCCTATTTTATAATGAAAACCCTCTTTCCTAAAAAAGGGATTAAATATGTTTTTTGGGTATGCAACATCAAAAGGCGGCTGGCCACATAACCTGAGGAATTCACTGATCTAAACTAACTACTGGCTAATGTTACAGTGAATTACCTTGCAATGCCAGGAGCAGAGGGAAAAAAAGGAGCTGGCAAAGGCTTTAGACCCAGTGCTTTTTTTCCAGCCCGCTCAGAAAGCTGCTCCCAGCCACGCTGAGGAGGCAAACAAAAGCCAGGAGGCTAACGTTACAGATAACGTTACCAGCCAAGAGGTAGCTAGTGTCAGTGAAGGAGCCA